AGTTCATTTGTGTCCTTTTTTTAAATTGCACGTGTAAGCGATATCATATGGCGTTTTTCTTTCTCTTTCTGGCTAGTGCTCTCTACTCTTGATTCCTGACCCAAGTCTGCCCGCTTTCTCGCATCCTGGGAAGTGTCGCTTCCTTATCTGTGACCACTGAGCAGATGGCTGATAACCCTGTTGCCCTGAGGGCCCAGGCTGTCTAGTGTTGCAATCTCCACTCTTCCTCTTCTCGGGCAAGTTCCGTGACTTCCCCGAGGCTGTCTCTGCTCTTCTGTAAAGTGGGGCAGAACCCAAAGTGCCCTCTTATCCATGCGAGGCCGAGGGAGGTCGGCCTCCACCGTGGTCGGAAGCCCTGTCTGCATATTTTCTTCCAAGGCTCCTCACGAAGAAAGAGGGATGGGGGTTTGCCAAACGGACATCGGTGTTCTCTCTGACACTCGGCTGTTTAGATAGAGAGCTCGCTTGAGTGTTTGCCACTGAGCTGGTGCCTGCACCTCCCAATGGGCCGGGGAGCGGTGGTCCTGGAGTCTGCTCTTGGAAGCTTCAGGGTACCTACTGTCCTGCTGGGTGCCCTGAAGGCCCCAAGCAGCGGTGGTGGGAGGTGGCCCATCTGTATTCAAGGCCTTCCCGGGCTGGGCCTGGGGCTGGCAGCCTGTGAATGCATATGCAAATAGACCTTTCTCCCCATTCTGTTTTGAGGTCTGGGCTGGGCTGACTGAAGTCTGGACTACGATGCTCTTTACTTTAGTCCAGCGGGGCTGACTGAGGCAGGCAAACCCCAAACACGTGGCTCCGAACCTGCCTCTGTCAATGGTTCCCAACTGAAGGTGACTTTTCCCTCCCAGGGGACATCTGGCAATGTCTGCAGACAGTTCTGGTGGTCACTCCTGGGTCGGAGGTGCCACTGGTGTCCAGTGGGGAGGGACCAGGGATGCTGCTCAGCATCCTACCATGCATGGGACAGCGCCCCACGTGCCCCCCTCACCCCCGCAAGGAATTACTCAGCCCCATAGGATAGCGGCCCTGGGGCTGGGAAACCCTGCTTGAAGTCCTTACCTCCTGCCATTCCTGGGGCTGGGGGCGGGGGGGCGGCGGAGGGGCTTTAATGAGTTCTGAGATGAGCATGTGACCTGTAATAACCTAATCTGACAAACGAAGAAGTGCTTCTCTCCCTCCCGCTGAACAGAAAACAAAAAACAGATGGACCAAACTGGCCCTGGCAGTCATCTTGGGACCACCCCCGACCCCCAACCCTGCAACGAGATTATGTTTGTTTCCTCTGGCTGTTGCAACAAATTACCATCTCCTAGATGGCTTTTAACAACATGAATGGATTCTCTCACCGTTCCAGAGGCCAGAAGTCCAAGCTCAAACTGGGGCCGGGGGCATGCAGCCTCCGGAGGCTCTGGGGGAGATTCAGTCCCTTGCCTTTTGTGGCTTGGGTGGGCGAGGGGGTCAGGCTTTCCTGGGTTTGGGCTGCAGCATTCCAGTCCCCGCCCTCTGTCTTCACATAGCGTCCGCCTCTGCTCTCTGTCTTTTCTCCTAAGGACACGTGGTGCTGGAGTCGGGGTCCACTGGGGTGATCTAGGACGATCTCATCCCCAGACCCTTCATCACACCTGCAAAGGACCTCTTTAAAAATTAGCTCGCGGTCACAGGTACTGTGGTGTAGGACTTGGACGTCGTCTTTTAGGAGGGGACGCCATCCAGCCTGCTTCATCCCAGCCTTGGGGTGGAGTTGGTCACTGTCAGCCATCATGCAGGAGGCATCTTGATGCCGCTGAACTCCGAGAGGCTGGGTTCCTGGGTCGGCTTTTAGCTCTGCCTCCACGTCCTCTCTGGGCTTCTGTGGCCTTGGGCTTTGTCTGGCTGTGTTTCAGACGGTTGCATTCACCTTCCATCTGGCAGAAGGCTAGAGCTGGGTTTGTGCGCCGCCTCAGGGCCTTCAGAGAAGTAGGCAGGGATTATGTTCATTTGTGAGTCAGTGTTTGCGGTACTTGGGGTTTCTCAGTTTCAGAAAGGACACGGATGTTGGTTATGTGGGTTTGTGGCTAGAATTAGCCCTGAGCCATGTTTCTTGCACCTGTGTGACAGACAAGTCCCCGTATGGTCCACAGTTCTTGTGGGCTTAAGTTTAAACCCATAACCCTCCCCACCGCAAAAAAAAAAAAAAAAAAGTGCTCTCTAGAATCAGACTTTGAATTCCAATGCCTCTTCTTGCTAACACACCCCAAGTTTTATTTTTAAGTGAGTAGTGGGAGTTTGTGATAAAATCTCTTTTCAGTTGATTTGCTTTCAGGCAACATGGGTCAAGCTGATTCCACTTAATTTTTTTATTTATCTTTGTTGATTTACAATGTTGCATCAGTTTCTGGCGTACAGCATAGCGATTCAGTTATACATATAAATATGTATTCTTTTTCGGATTTTTCCCGTTATAGCTTGTTACAAGATATTGAATATACTTCCCAGTGCTATACAGTATCCTTGACGTTTACGTATTTTATAGATAGTATAATTTAGCCCTCCCCCCTTCCCCTTTGGGAACCATAAGTTTGTTTTCTAAGTCTGTGAGTCTGTTTTGTAAATAAGTTCGTTTGTGTCACTGACTCAAATCCCACGTGTAAGTGGTACACAGTCCTAGCTTATTTGTTCTGTATATAGTAGTGTGTGTGTGTCAATCCCAGACTCCTAGTGTAGCTCTCCCTGCCTCCACTTAAGGAGAAAGGAGTTGATGGGGGGTGTATCTGGGGGGGTAAGGAAGCAGATTTTAGAAAGGACAGTGTGGTAGGTGGGAGAGCACCCCCCCAAGATGTCCACATCCTAGTCCCCGGAACCCGTCACTTTACCTGGCAAAGGAGGATTAAGGTGGATGACAGGATGGAAGTTGCCAATCAGCTGATTTTACAGTAGGGAGGTGATCCTGGATTATCTGGAGTGGGGGGTGGGGTTCAGTGGAGGTACAGGAGTCCTGAAAAAGGAAGAGGGAGGCAGAAGAGGAAGAAACAGAGAGAGGGCAGCATGAGGACCTGGGCTGCCGTCGCCAGCTCTGCAGACGGAGGCAGGACCACAAGCCAAAGGTCGCAGGTGCCTCTAGAAGCTGGAAAAGCCCAGGAAACGGATTCTCCCGGGGCCTCCAGAAGGAACCAGCCCTGTTCACACCTTGTCTGCAGCCCAGAGAGACCCATTTTGGACTCTGACCTCCAGAACTCTACGAGAATGCCCCTGCGTTGTTGAAGCCGCCCCATCTGTGGTCATCTGTTACAGCAGCTGTAGGAAGCTAGGACAGCTGGGAACAGGGACACACCTGGGATGCAGGGACCGGGAGCCCATAGACACCATCATCTTTGGACAAACGTGTTTAGTCCCGGTGTCAATCACCGAGATGCAGATTCAGGGAGAGGGTCAGGTTGGTCTTGCTTGAGTCAGACTCATGTGCCCACTCCTCAGACATGGTAATGGGGGAGCAGAAAGTCTCTGCGGGAGCTTCCGGGTTGGTGAACGCGCGGACATGCGGGGACAGTGGTGCCCCCACGGGGGCTCCGGGCCCCTTCCCACACCCCTCACCCTCCGCGTCTCTTCTGTCTGGCTGTTGCTGAGTTAGCTGACATCACCAGCAACCGGACGACTAAGACATTCACGTCCTCGGATGTGACACGCTGCAGGGGACACAGCATCACTTTGGCGTGTCCCCAACCAAAATGCAAAACCCGATCTAATCATGAAGAAATAGCAGACAACCCCCAACTGAAGGGTGGTCTATAGGACAGCTGGCCAGTCACTCTTCAGGAGCGTCAAAGTCATGAAAAATAAAGACCACAGTTTATACGGTTGCCAAAGGAGAAGTGGAGGGAGGGATAAGTTAGGAATATGGGATTAACGGATACAAAGTACTATGCAGAAAACAGATCAACAACCAGGATTTACTGTACAGCACAGGGAACTATATTCAGTATCTTGTAATAACCTGTAATAGAAAAGAATCTGAAATACATGCATATGTGTGTGTATAACTGAATCACTCTACTGTACACCTGAAACTAACACAAAATTGTAAATCAACTACACCTCAATTCTTTTTAAGTATTTTTAAAAAGACCACAGTTTAAAGCAGACTAAAGAGACAGGACAACTAATGCAATATGTGACCCTAGATTGGATCCTGGGCCAGAAAAAAAAAATTTTGTTTTTACTATAAAAGACATTACTGTTGCTAAAACTTGAATGTCTGCAGATGAGATGTTAGATGCTAGCGTCACCAGTGGTACTTTCTTGATTCTGATCACAGCTTTGTGGTTATGGAAGCAAATACCACCATCACCCCAGTTGAATCCTATACGTGTATTTAGAGAGCCAGGGGTTTTGAGGGTGCGCCCTGACTCCCAGGGGTACACATATATCCTTGTGATGGACATGCTGTCCGGGTGGCTCCCCTGTGAGTCCCACCTCCTGAGAGTCACCCCCTTGCAACAGTCCCTTCCTTTTCTGTGTGACCGGACCTGCAGCTTGCTTCCAACCCACAGAACAGGGCAGGCTCGCCTACACAGTTATTGGCATGGCGCAGTTTCTCCCAGTTGTTGGGCTCAGGCCTCAGTTCCTGCGTGGCTGTTCCTGGCCACACGCTGGCGGCCAGCTCAGCTCTGAGCGGGGACGGCAGGGAGCGGGGAGAGCCAGCGATACAGACGTCCGTCTTTTGTAACCTAATCACGGGAGCTCTCACCTTTGTGCTGTTCTATTTGTTAGAAGTGGGTCACCCACGAGGTCCAGCCCCAACTCAGGGGGTTAGAAGACACAGGGCACGAACCTGGGGGAGGTGGGGTCCACGTCGGGAGCTGCCTCCCAGGGTCAAGCCACCCTCAACGTGTCCTTTGGCCATCCTCCTCTGAGGTGGATGGAAGGACAGAAGGAAGACTCGCTGTGTTTACAGAGCAGGCGCCTTTCATCCCCCCGCATCATGTCTTGATGACTTAGCTTTGTGGCTGCCCCCCTGAATTCTATTTTTTAAATATATTTTTACTGAAGTATGGTCAGTTTACAATGTTACGTCTGTGCCCGAGCTGAGGGCCAGCCCTCACAGGGCTTCCAACACAGGAGACACGCAGACTTCAAGGATGGGTGCCACGGGAAAGGGGGGAGGACATCTTTCATCTCGAAACGTCTGAACTTCCAATTTGATTATTGCCCCGCTGACACTTAAACTGATGACTCGGTCCCCTGAAGGCAATAGATACAAGAGCTCTTTCAGTTCTCCTGTTCAGCTGGTTGGCGCTTCCCCACACGCACACAGACGAGGACAATGAAACCTACAACTCAGCCGCATTTTTAGAACTTTTGTTATTAAAGAGCAGGTCTGAGCCTCCGGTTTACATCACCGAGGGAACTGGAGAGGGGATCGTGATCACAGGCTTCCAGGTTCCTCGGTGGTTCCTCACCCCGCGCTGTCCCCAGCGTGGCTCGGAGCTAACAGGGGCAGACCTGTGTCGGCCGGTTCCCGGCGGGGCGCCTCGCCAGGGTCTGGCACACGGAAGGCCCGCAGCAAACGTCCACGGGCCAAGAACGCACAGCTGCCATTCCCCAAGCCAGGCCATCACCCGTCACCACGCGCCATCCGATGAGGTAGTCGAGTTATTCTGCGCATTTTACATTTGGAGAGCAGACTGGAGGTGTGCAAGGTCCCATGGGGACCCGTGAACTCCAGGGCATCAGTTGGAACTTGCCCACCACACACCACACGGTCCCCGGCATGGCCCACACCAGCCGAGCTGACTCCGCCCTCCACTGTTCCCAGTTTACAGCCCCAGGGGAGGCATCTGATGGCCCCGCTCACCTGCTGGCAGCAGGGCACAAGACACCAGCCATTCCCTGGGTCAGGTGCCCATCTGCGATTCAATCCACTGTGGCCAGGAGAGCCGATACTGCCACCTAGAGGCTGCTGCTGGCATGGCGGCCAGCTTGGTTTGTCGCTGCTCCATCCTTGGGACTCTGCCTCCTCAGTGGCTTTCACGCCAGTTCCCAGAGGTTATTTGCGGAGGGGCTGTCCCTTCTCAGACGCTCCAGAGGACATCTCCAGGCCCACCAGGCGGGCACTTTCAGCCCAAAGCCTCTGGGCCACCTCTTCATCTTCAGCCTCGGGGGCCGGAGCCCTTTCTTTGAGTCCATCAAAGTACTTTCCAGAAACGCCCTCCAGTTCCTCGGCCACGGCCAGGTAGGTGCTGGGCTGGGCTGCCAGCTGGGGGCTCTTGACCAGCATCCAGAAGATGGGCCCTGCAATCAGAGTTCCGTCCACATGTTCAGAGAAGAGGACACTGAGAGTCCTTGTCTGCCCCAGGTGACTCAGGACCCACTGAGGCCAGAGGTTTCCCTAGAGCCCCACAGAGCCCACCTCCATTCAGGCCTTGGCCCCTGTGTTTCCTACACCAGGCATTCCTTCCCCTGGTGCCGCGCAAATACTTCCAGATGCAGGGACCAGCCTGACAGCTGCCTCCCCCAGGAAGCCCCCCTGGCTTTTCCCAGGCAAATGGAAGCTCCCCCTCCTCTATGTCAGCCTCAGGTCCTCGCCCCACCGGATCTTTCTTTAAAATAACTTTCGTGTATTGAATGTGGTGTCAGGTGCCAGCCTCAGCTTAACATCCCTGATACCTGGTTCCCACCTACTTAATGTTTTTTGGGATTATAAACACTTGTTATAAAGCTCTAATTATTTATTTGGCCTGAATCTGGGCCAGGCACTGTGCTGGCACTTTTCAAGGAGGTCTCATCTACCCCTCCCCACTGTGAGGCAGGCATTTCTACGGCCCTCACTCTGCGGATAAGAAAAGGGAGGCTAGGAGAGAAGTCCATCCCCAGGTGGCCCAGCTCCTTTGGGATGGACTTCAGGAAGTCAGCTCCGTGACCTCCCCCTCCAGGACAGTTTTCTCATCAGACAGGCTCTGGCCTGTTTCCTGAGGCTATTCTGAGGCTGGCAGACCAGACAGGCATATAAAAGTGACTCATTCCCAGGAAAGATACTGGGAACTGGCCGAGGAAGGCCTGGAGATAGTCTCTGAGTGTCATGTTAACGTTATGTTTCAGCTGAGCTAAGGGATCCCCAGGGAGCAGGTAAACATTATTTCTGGGTGTGTCTGTGAGGTGAGGGTATGAGCAGAAACGATCAGCATTTGCTCTAAGTAAAACCTACCCTCACTAAGGTGGCTGCACACCATGCAGTTCATTGCGGTGAGAACAGAACAAAAAGGTGGAGAAAGGGCAAATTCCCTCTCTTCCCTTGAGCCAGGACATCCATCTCCTGCCCGGAGACGTCGGTGCTCCTGGTCTTCTGGCTCAGGCTGGGACTTACACCATCAGTTCCTCTGGTCCTCAGGCCTTTGGGTTTGGACTAAAACTACACCACTGGCTTTCCTGGACCTCTGGTGTCAGATCAGATCGTGGGGCCTCTCAGCCTCCACAGATGCATGAGCCAATCCCTCCTGTAAATCCCTCTAGATATCTATGTGTATCCTGTTGATTCTGTTTCTCTAGAAAACCCTGACTAATACACTGAAGGGGGTCCTGGACCCCAGGATGGGAGGGGACTTACCGAGCATGAAGCTGGAGAAGGCAGAGCTGTGCATGCCCGTGTGTCTGCCCAGCTCTGTCCTGGCCACGCCAGGGTGCAAGGCATTGACAGTCACGCCTGTGCCTGGGGAGAGACGGGGAGGGTAAGGAATGGAGGCAGGCAGATGCCAGGTGCACCCCTACCAGGAAGGCTGATGCTGCCCGCCCTAGGCTCGGGGGCTCCCCCTAAACCCATGCCGCCTTCTTGCTCTGGAACCTCCACACCAGGTGGTTTCATCTTGCAAGGCAGCTCTGTTTCATGGCTGCCCAGAGCACAGCCTCTCAACCTGAGCATGTAAAACTCACCAGGAGGGCTTGAGAAACCCAGACGGCTGGGCTCCACCCCTCAGAGTCTGAAGTGGTGAGTGGGTTGGGGTGGGGTCTGAGATGCTACAATTATGACAGGTGCCCAGGTGAGCTGGTACTACTGATCCACAGACCCTCTTTGAGAAGCAAGGGCAAACGGTAGACTTTTCAACTTCAGCACCATGAACACTGAGGTCAGGGAGGGTGTTGCTCAGTGTAAAGCACATGCTTAGCATGCATGAGGTCCTGGGTTCAATCCCCAGTGCCTCCATTAAAAAAAACAAAACAAATAATAAACACTAAGGTCGGGTCATTCTTTATCTTATAGGATGTTCAGTAGTATCCTTGGCCTCTGCAAAATGTCTCCACATACTGCCACTGGCCTAGAGCAGCAGAGGCTCTGTGATTGATTAATGATGTCTGCTTCAGGCACAGCCTGGAGCATGGTGGTATATATGTCATGTGTTTGCCTATGGTGTCCGGCAATGCCTGACCTCCCGTCAGTCGGCCCAGGGTCAGAGCAGGACGGTTTCAGATCTGGAGCTAAAGGAAGGAGAGGCCAGCGAGGCCGTCACACGCACCTTGCAGCTGCCGGCTCAGCTCCTTGGTGAAGAGGACAAGGGCCAGCTTACTCTGGCAGTAGGCTGCCTTAGTGTCATACTTCCTCTTCTCCCAGTTCAAGTCCTCAAAGTCTATGTGCCCAGCAACATGGGCCAAGGACGAGAGGTTGATGATCCGCGAAGGGGCAGAGGCTTTCAGCTTGTCCAGCAGCAAGTGTGTCAGAAGAAAATGGCCTGGGTGAAGGAAAACAAAAAGGCAATTTTACTGAACCATACTAAGAACATGCCTTTATTTCATCCTCCCGATAACCCTTGTTTCTCAGCGAGGTCAACTTTGCCCCACAGGGGACATTTGGCAACATCTAGAGACAATTTTGTGTATGGGGGGGTGGAGAACAGTAATTCTTTTTTTTTAAATGGAGGTGCTGGGGATTGAACCCAGGACCTCCTGCATGCTAAGCACATGCTCTACCCCTGGGCTATACCCTCCCCTCCTGGAGACAATTTCGATGGTCACAACTGCAGAGAGCAGTGCAGCCAACTAGTGGGTGGAGGCCAGGGATGCTGCTGAAAATCCTACAATGCACAAGACAGTGCCCACAAAAAAGGATTATGCAGCCCCAGATACCAAGCTCTGTGATGACCCTGTGGGGTCAGCTGGAGAAGAGGATGCCTTCTGTCTCCCCAAGTCCTTCCTTTCTCCTTTCCTTCTTCAGTGATAGAATTTTTGGTTATGCTTAAGACTGCCCCGTGATAGACTACATTTCCTGACTCCCTTGCAGCTGAATGTGGGCATGTGACTGAGTCCCAGCCAGCAGGGGGTGGAGGAGAGTAACGCTTGTGTTGTAGGTTGAATTGTGTTCCCGCCACCAGCTCCTCCAAGTCCTGCCCTCTCACACTTCAGCGTGGGACCTTGTTTGGACACAGGGTCTTTAGAGAGGGATCAAGTTAAAATGAGGTCATTGGGGGCGGGGAGCTAACCCCATAGGATTGGTGCCTACCCAACATTTCTTTGCTTCACCCTTACTAATGGAACTCCAGTTGCATTCAGGGTGACAACAGATAAACTGACACAGTGAGTGAAGGACAGACAGAGACTGGAGGACAGACAGACAAGAACAAAAGGCCAAGAGGCTGATGGACAGTGCAAAGGACTGAGGGTCCAGCGATGGACAGGCGACTCCCTGAGCCACTGGGTGACCCCATGTGTGGCCACGTTGGAGAGTGGAGAAAGACCCCCCTCCCGGAGCCTCTCTGGCCCACAGGAGACCCCGCTCACATCCCAGGCCGATGCCACACAGCCCCCAGCCTCACCCAGGTAGTTAACGCCAAGCTGCATCTCGAAGCCGTCCTCAGTGGTCCAGTGAGGGCACCGCATCACGGCCGCGTTGTTGATCAGGATGTGCACGTGTTCCTCCTCTGCAAGACGGGGGTGAGGACACCTGTGTCAGCCCCGCCCTGCAGGGAGCACCAGGGCAGCCGGGGGACAGAGCCCCTGACGCTGGGCTGAACAGCGTCCCCAAACATTCATGTCCACCCGAAACCTCTGAATGTAGCCTCTGTTTGGAAGCAGAGTCTTTACAGAAGCAATCAAGTGAGGATGAGGCTGTACATAGGATAGGCCCTAATTCACCACGACTGGTGTCGTAACAAGAAGGGGGGATTTAGACTCAGACTGAGACACGCGGGGAGAACGTCCTGTGACAACAGAGGCAGAGCTGGGAGTGGTGCATCTACGAGCCTAGAGGCACCGGGGATTGACGGCCCCACCGGAAGCCGGAAGAGGCAACGGGGGATTCTGCCCAGGGTCTGGGAGGGAGCCCGGCCCGCTGATGCCTGGATCCTGGACTTCTGGCTCCGGAGCTGTGAGAGAATGAATCTTCATGGTCTCAAGCTACCCAGTTGGCGACACTGTATTCCAGCAGCCCCAGAAAATGAGTACTCCCACCACCACCCAGCCTGGGAGATCTTTCTAGAGGGAGAAAGCGACCACATCTGCTGCAGGAGCCCCCAAGCCTCAAACTGGGAGTTACTGGTGGGAGCTGGGGCCCTGTGGGCTGATGGCTCTGCGTCTGTTCCGCAACCCAGCTTCCCTGGCACAAGGGGTTGCCCCTCCTGGAGCCTCGATTCCTCGTGTGTGGAATGGGATGAATAACAAAGCCTTCGTTCCTGTGTCAGCGTCCAGGGGCGGCAGTAAGCGAGCACTGCACCCCGGGCAGCTTGAACAGAAATGTCTTCTCTCCAGGTGCTGGAGGCTGGGAGCCTGAGAGGGCGGTGCGGGCAGGGCTGGTTCCCTCGGAGGCTGTGCGGGAGAATCTGTCTGCGCCTCTCTCCCAGCTTCTGGTGGCCGTGCTGGCATTCCTCCACCCAGCGTCTTCCCTGTGTGCGTGCCTTCTTGTCAAAACTTCCCCGTTTTATAAGGACACCAGTCAGGTTGGGTTAGGACCTGCCCTATGACTTCATTTCAACTTGATCACCTCCATAAAGACCGCATCTGGGGTGGGGGGGTGCAGTTATAGCTCAAGTAGTAGAGTGTGGTGTGTGCTTAGCATGCACGAGGTCCTGGGTTCAAAATCTGCCAGGTAGAGTGGCTTAATTCTTGTTCATTGAGCAAGTTGGGTTTTTTTGAGGAGGGGTGTGTAATTAGGTTTATTTACTTAACGGAGGCACTGGGGATTGAGCCCAGGACCTTGTGCATGCTAAGCACGTGCTCTACCACTGCGCTACACCCTCCTCACCCCATATAGCAAGTATTTTCTAAGCACCTCATATTGGGCACTGGATATACAGGATGGACAAGACAGTCGCGAGTGTTCCAGGGTGATTGGGAGTCAGTCTGACAGCCAACTGCCTACATAAGGGAATTCTCCAGTGAGAAGAGCTGTGAAGGAGGCAAACGGGGACCCCATAGAGAATGTTGCTGTGAGGGAGGTGAGGGCCGCCTTCAGGGAGGACACAAATACGTCTGCAAAGGGTGTTCACAGCAGCACCGCTCGGAGCAGCAGCAGGCGGGAGGCAAGCCAAGGGCCCTGCACGGCCAGCTGTCAGAGCCACGCTGCGGGGTACGGTGTGGCCTGGAAGACAGTGTAGCCACAGGAAAACAATGAAGAAACACAATGTAGCCACGCGAAAAAAAAGGAGGGGGAAGCTCCGCCTGCAATGATGTCCAAGAGACGACAGGAGAGACGAAACCCAGGGCAGCGCTGGGTGTATAGTGGGCTCCCCGGTTTGTACAAAAGAGCCGAAGGGAGGTGTACACCCTTGTTTGCTTTTTAAATGAATAAAAGGGCTCCAAACGGACCACAGAAGGTAGAGCACGGAACACATCTGAGGACGGCATCTCCGATGGAAGGAAGCCATTCTGCCGTGTCCCCACTGGCACTTTCTGAATGTTTAACCCAGTAACTGTTATTCCTGCTCGAAAAAATTAATACATAGGCAGTTCTGGGACCACACGGTGGGAAGCAGAAAGAGGGACTCCTCCAGCAAGGGGACCAGGAAGATGCCAGCCTGATCCCCGGATTTGCAAAAAGAAATACCCAGCGGAGAACGTGGGAGTCCCAGGGACCCTGCACCGTGCCTGTGTGTCCCTGTCAGTCACCTATTGTCACAGCTGGGTCCCCTACCCGCCCTGGGCGCTCCTGGAAAACAGAGCCTGAACCTGACTCATGTCTGTGTCCCTGGTGTCACCCAAGAGCCAGAGAGCCTCAGGAAATGTAGGGTGAATCAGTGTTTCACCTGGCCAACTCATCCAACACCTCCCTACACACGGAATCGGCCTCTGCTTCTTGTGGGAATCAAGCTCACACAGAAGGAGCTGGCTTTCCTATAGAGCAGGACTCATTAACTTCTGCTGTAAAGGACCAGACAGTAAATATTATGGGCTTTGCAGGCAATACGGTCTGTCTCTACTGAACTCTGCCCTCGCAGGACTAAAGCAGCCACAATTTGTAAACCCATGGGCATGGCTGTGTACCAAGAAAATTTTATATATGGAAACTAAAATTTGAATTCCATAAGACAGTCATGTGTCATGAAATATTATTCTTTTGGTTTTTTTTTCCTGTCATTGAAAAATGTAACAAATGTCAATGTGAAAATGTCAGGAAAGAAAAGAATATAAAATCTTCACCCCATGGGCTGCATGGAAAACCAGATCTGGCCTGCAAGCCATAGCCTGCCCACACCCAGCTCCAGGGCCAGCCTGGTGTATTCACTCCTCAGAGCCTGGCCGCCCAAGTCCTCACCCTACAGGGCTGGCGTCCTCCCTCCTACCTTCAGTGATCTTCCTTGCAAACTCTCGGATGGACTTAAGGGAGGCCAAGTCCAGGTGCCGGGCATTGACGTGGTGATTGAGGGTCTCCCTGCGAATGTCTTTTGCTGCCGCCTCACACTTCTCCATGTCTCGACAGGCCAGAATGATGTTTCCTCCTGGAAGCCCCAAACAAGAAAAAAAAATTTAATCCACTCCTAAGATAAATGAAAACAGAAGTCCACACCAAAAAAAAATGCATGCTTAACTATTTACAATAGCCAAGACATGGAAGCAATCTGAATGTCCATCAACAGATGACTGGATAAAGAAGTTGGTTACCAGGAGGGAAAGGGGGTCAGAAGGGGTAAACTGAGAGTTCAAGATTAGCAAATACTAACTACTATATATAAAATAGATAAACAAGTTTCTACTATATAGCACAGGGAACTATATTCAATACTTTGTAGTAACCTATAATGAAAAAGAACATGAAAAGGAATATATGTACATATATATATGACTGAAACATTGTGCTGTACACCGGAAATTGATACATTGTAAACTGACTGTACTTCAATTAAAAAAAAATTTTTTTTAGCGGGAAAGGTATAGTACGAGTGGTAGAGTGCATACTTAGCATGCATGAGGTCCTGGGTTCAATCCCTAGTACCTCCTCTAAAAATAAACCTAATTACCTCCCCCACAAAACAAACAAAAAAGAGTTTTTTTAATGTGCACCTGAATGTATATAACAGCACTATTCGCAATAGCCAAAGGTGAAGACAACTCAAACGTCCATCAAGGGATGGATGAATAAGTGAAATGTGGTCTATCCACTGGCGGAATATTACTCAGCCATGAAAAGGAAGGGCATTCTGTCACATCCACGTGGATGAACCTCAAAAACAAGATGTTCAGGGAAAGAAGCCAGACACAATATGTCGTAGAGTGTGTGATTCCATTTATCTGCAATGCCCAGAAAAGGCAAATCCATAGAAGGTGGATTAGTGGTTTCCGAGGTTTTGGGGGATGGGGAATTAGGGGGTGATGGCTTAGAGGACTGAGGTTTTGTTTTAGGGTGATAAAAATGTTCTATAGTGCAGACTGGTGATGATTGCATAGTTCTGGGAATATACTAAAAATCACAGAAGTGAATACTTTAAAGGTGTGAATTATATCTTCATATAGCCATTAAAAAAAAAACCTTTTTTTTTAAGTTAGAAAAGTGAGAAGAAACGGACTGAGCAGAGGATGCTGACCATGTGGATCTACAAGGCTCATTGCCCCACAGCTGGACCCAGCTGCCTCCTACACGTCCCACTGTCCCCTCGTACTGTCCAGAACGAACTCATCAAGTCCGGAATCTGCCCTTCCAGTGGCAGCCTGGCCCTCAGGACAGCAGCAGGTGTGAAGGCTCAACTTCCTTTCTCTCCTTTTCCTGAAAGGAGCCTGTGTCCCTCCCTTGGGGAGACCCCATGTGGTGATGGTTGGACGGGGGGCCTGCCTATCTTGGCCTCCCACTGATCTGACCTCAGGAGTGGGCAGGCAGCTCTGGTCTATTCTTTTGGGGACCCATTCCCCTGGTCACCACAACTCAACAAGCCCAGGGCGAGTTTCCAGTCTCCTTCCAGCCCTTACCCCTGCCCTGCCACAGCCTCCCCATCCGTCCCACCACTGGTCTTCCAGCTGTTCAGACCAAAGCCCTTGACTGCTCCCTCTCTTGTGCCTGACCCCACAGGAAACCCCATTGATTCTACCAGTTGTTTGTTTTTTTTAATGGAGGGACGGGACAGAACCAGGACCTCGTGCATGCTAAGCACACACTCTACCACTGAGCTACACCCTCCCCAACATTGATTCTAAATTCAGAAGAGATCTGTGTGTGCTGAGGAGGGCACTTCTCCTCCATAACCCCAGTCTGACCACGAGAAAAACACCAAACTAACCCAAATCAAAGGGCATTCTACAAAACACCTGACCGGTAAGCCTGGAGGAGCCTGAAGCCAAGACTTGACCCCTAACCTCTGACCCAGGCCCCAGCCCAGCCAATAGGACTGAGTCCCACGACAGTAGGAAAGGGTGAGGCCCATGCAAAGAGGAAAACCAAAGCCAGAAATTGCCGAGTGTCCAGGGCCTCTTCTGAGACCCTGAACCCGCCCTTCCCTCTTCCAGGGACATGAGGTTTTTGGGCTTAAGCCGGCGTGAGTCTGTTCCTGCCACTTGTAACCAAGTGAATCGGATGCCTGCACACCCCCCAGGAAACAAAACCGTCCTCTGCCCGCAACTGGGGCAGAAAAGGCAGGCGCCCACCGCCCACCGACTTCACCTCTCTTGGCCAGCTCCAAGGCGGTCTGCTTCCCGATGCCCGTGTTGGCACCCGTCACAACAACAGTCTTCCCGGGAATGGTGGCCTTGCTGGGACAAGCCCCGCCAGCGACATAGTCCCTGAAGGTAAGAAATGACAGGTCAGTTCCATCTGTCCGCGCACTCTCGCCACGGGGGCCCCCGGCTGTTGTGGTCTCAGGCAAATGACTGCTCTGAGCTTGTGTTCCACCAAAGGAAAGATGGAAAAACGTCCCATAGTCCTTAACTCCACAGGGCCATTGTCCTGTTACAAGGAAAGGACTCAGCATGGCCTGGGGTTGGGAGCCTCCAAGACCGAGCCAATCACTATTTTTCTATTTGTTTAATTTCCCTTTCTTCTGTTGTGGGGATGGGATAATTAGGTTTATTTATTTATTTTTAACCTTATTTTATTATTTTTCTAATGGAGGTACTGAGGATTGAACTCAGGACCCTGTGCATGCGAGGCAGGCACTCTACCACTGAGCTAGGTGCTCTACCGCTGAGCTACACCCTCCCCTCCTCACAATCGCTATTTTGTAAAGACCCACCGTATCCGTTTTCCGGCGTATGCTGTGACAGATCATCACAAGCTCATTGGGCTAAAACCACGCAGAGTTATCTGACCTGCAGACTGTAGGCCAGAATCCGAAATAGGTCTCACTAGGATAAAATCGAGGTGCCGGCAGAGCCGTGTTCCTTCTGGAGGCTCCAGGGGAGAATCATTCTCATGCCTTTTCTAGATTCTAAGGGCCGCCCGCATTCCTTGGCTCATGGCCTCATAGCACCTTCAAGTCTGATTCTAATCTCTCCTTCCTTCTTAGAAGGACTGTTGTGATTGCATTGGCCCCCTCCCTGGATAACCTAGGATCATCGCCCCATCTCAGGGTCCTTAACCCAATGACATCTGCAAAGCCCCCTTTGCTAGGAAAGGAGATATATTCACAGGTTCTGGGAATTAGGACATGCGCATCCTTGGAGAAGGGGAGGGCCTTATTCTGCTACTGTGCCCATATTCCACAGATGCTATATACTGGAAGCAACCACGTGCCACCAATAGGGAAGTGGCCACATAAACAATGTCGTCACCACACAAGAGAAGGGCACTGTACAACACAGTAGCCACCAGCCACCGGAGGCTAACTTTTAATTTAAGTTAATTAAAAATAAGTAGCTGTACTTTTTCCCCCTAGGGCATTCAGTTTTCTTTCACTCTTCCCATGCTGACACTATTTGGTGGTTTTGGGGTTTGTGTGTTTGTTTAGCTTTTTCAGAACTGAAAGACAATAATAGTATGAAAAAAGCAGCCAATGAATTTCATTATAAGGAAAAATTATTCCCATTTTCTAGTGCTTTCAAGAAAAGGTAGTTGATATTTACAAAGCAAACGTTTAATGAATTATGAATAATAAGGTACAATCCAGCTAAACAAACAAAAACTATCAGATCAGGAGAAACAAGTTCAAAATAAATCCTCATCACAGAGCAGATAAACAAACCCAAAATTAGTGATTCAAAGAGATTTATGGTATATCCTTCATTCCCTTAAGAAAAAAAAAGTATTTCAATATTTTAGTCACTTTCTGGCCTAATTCCCAGCCAATCTCTTGTGTAACTGTAATAAAATTACATATTGCTAATCCCGAGCACTTAACATGAGACCTACCCTCTTACCCAATCTTTAAGTACACATTACAGCGCAAATATTGTTAACTACGGGCATAGCATCTTCATACTTGAAGTGCTGCTCAACGGCCACCCGTGGTGGCTATAAAATAGGACAAACGTAAAATATTTCCATCATCGCAGAAAGTTCTACTGAATGTTGCTGCAGTAGAATATTTAGTCGCTTTTTTTTTTTCCTAAAGCGAATTGGCCTAGGGAAGGCAAGAAAGAACTACAGCATGTATGTATCCCGTGCGATACAGTCTTTTCGTTTACTGAGCCGGACAGCTCTGGTTCGTTTCTGTAATTCCGGGTAAAGAGAGCTGAGGTGGCGTAGATTTTCCTTGCATCTAGGCCAGGATGCGATACATGGGAAGTGCCCAAGAAGTATTTGCTAAATGACTCAATTAAAAGTCCGGAAGCAAGTCCGGAAACAAAAATGTTTACCAGGGCCCGATCTGCCCGTTTCTCTGGGTGACCTTGGGCCGTGACCTGCCCTCCCGGGGCCTACGCCTGCCCCCGCATTCCGTGGGAGCACTGCCGGGGGTGGGTGAGCTGGAGGGCTCCTGGGTGCGCGAGGGACTGGCGAGTTCCACCTTCCCTCCCCGTCCATGCAGACTCGCCCGCCGTTACCCCGCCCGAGGGACCCGCGCGTACTCACTTGAGCAGCACGGCGCCCCCCACCGCTGTGCCCAGCACGGACAGCGGCAGAATGTAGCGGTTCATGCCGGG